GATAATAACTTTTGAATGATCCTAAAATACCAACTAGAGAGAATCATAACTTTTCTTTTCCTAAAAACCCAAAGTTGTTTCTATAGTCATAACTTATTTAAAGAGCCCTAATGTATTTACAGAATATATTCTGTTACTAAACAAATATTTGAAAAAGATAATATTTTCCTTATTGATGGGAATAAAACACCTTTTCACTTTACATGCAGGTACTCAAAAATTGTAAAGCAGGATGTCAGTGAATTTGAATTCTGAACGTCAGTTTGAAGATGGTAACACATTTAGTATAAATTTTTCCACTCAAACTATACACATTTTAATTGATATTAATTATATGAATGATTTTATATACCTTCAAATTCTCTTAAGTAATGTTAGGTTCCTTATTCTTAGAAGAGCATATTATTAAGCTGTTTTTAGAAGCAGTTTGACAAATAGAGATTGTGTTTGTTTTCAGAAATGGTGGATCAGTTAGAAAAATAAAACTTCAGTTTATTTAGCCATTATCATTTACATTAAAACAATGTTTACAAATTATATAATTGGCATCAAGTGGTACACTTTTTCATACTTTCAGTTTTGTTTCGATTAGAAATCTACAATAGTTGACCATAATGCTTTATTTTCTCTTCCATTTTGCTATTTTATGAAAAATCATGGTCGTTTTTATGTCGTGGCAAGAGTCTACTTGAAATTTTTTAATATGAATTTACCAATATCAAAAGGAAGACATTGAGGACTTTATCTAGGAAGATCATCCAAGCTGTGCCCTACTTACCTTTTAGACTTAAGGTTGGTAAGCATGTTAACAACAGCATAGAACTTCATTCCAATGAAAAATAAATATAAAACCCAGACATAGGTTAAGACCTCTTTCACCCGTGTCTATACTAATAAATACATTAAATTGGGAATTATTTCTTAGTAATGACCCAAAGAGTGCTGATTCTTTCAACATGTTAGCCAGAATCACCTGTTCTTTTTGCTTCCCTTTTAATCCAGAATGTTTGCTTAGATAGATGATTGACACAGTTGCATCAATTTGCAGTGTTTCTGTCTTATATCATGTTCACTATTCTTTTCAGCTGCCTCTGGAGATGTACAAACATACCAGATTCGCACAGCACCCACTAGCACTATTGCCCCTGGAGTTGTTATGGCATCCTCTCCAGCACTTCCTACACAGCCTGCCGAAGAAGCAGCCCGAAAGAGAGAGGTTCGTCTAATGAAGAACAGGTACACCTATTGCATTTACTTGGATTGTTGTAGGTCAAGTACATCCTCAGATTCTGCCAGATGTGTGTCTTTACAGCTACTGGTAATAGCATCTTTGTATTGGACTTTTTTTCTGGTAGAATTGATGCATATTGAGATCATGTGTCAATTTTTGACCACAGAGTAGTTTTCTTTCATGCAGTTTCCCCATGGGAGATTAATGTGCAACTTTGCTGGTTGCACTTTGCTCCAAACAACTAGCTAGGTTATTTAAAAATTGTTTCTTTTCATGAGTAGTATTATTCAAGAAAATCAAGAGTTTCATATATGTATATTAACATTAAATGTTAAATTTTATTAATACTAGGTTTACTTGATATAAAGTATATGTATGATGGGCCAGTCCATGTTGTAATGAATATCATCTTTACTCAAAATGATAACAATTTAACACCTAAGGATTCTTCAAAACTATATTAATTCTAGGAGTGCACGTTACTGACAAAAATGTTAAAATACAGCCTTCAGCAATGAAAATACTATATATCAAAAGCTATGAAATGTGAGTAAAGCAATTCTCAGTAAGTTCATTGCTGTAAATGGTTTTGCCATCAGAAAACAGAATAAAAGTAAGTTACTGTTTAACTTAGAATTTTAATATGGAATGATGACTAACAAGAAAATGAAAATAAAGGTGTAAAAAGTTTGAAATTGGTGAAAGTATTCTGCTATTCACTCAGGACACTTCAAACACTATGATAAAGTAAAAGAAACAGATTGAACTTGGAAGATCTGGCTTCGAGTCTTGGCTCTATCTGTCATCTGTGATTTTGGGAGAACATAATTATCTTCTAATCCCCAGTTTTCTCATTTGTAAAATGGGGTCCCACCACCTACCTAAAGTGTTTTTCTAACTAACAGTCAAGATAATTCCTCTGAAAGCACTTTGTAACTGTAGTGCTCTGTTGAAATGTTTTGTGTATGCAATTTCCTGTTTCAGTTCAGATCATCCTCTTCGTTCCTAAAATATTCTTAGCTGTCACAGTGTTAGTAAATTACATCTAAGCTATGAGAAATGGCAGAAGCTGGGTGCACTGATGCACTGAGGCAAGAGGATCCCTTGAGCCCAGGAGTTTAGGGCCAGCCTGGGCAAAACAGTGAGACACTGTCTCAAAAAA